CTTGTTCATTGCCTGTCACTCCACCATTAGGATGTCAGTGCCACAAAGGCAGGGAATTGTGTCCATCTTGGTTGCTGCTGTGTGTTAGACACATGGCACCCTGGAGGTGCTCAGCAGTCAGTTTGCCAAGTGATCAAAGGAGAGAAGTAAACGGTAGTGCAGTTCAGCTCTAATTTATGGATGAGGAAATGGAGGCTCAGAGATGTCAAAGTACTTGCACAAGGACACACAGCAGAGGTTGGCAGACTTTCAGTGAAGTGAATGCCTTAGACCTGGTTGGTCACCTGCAGTTTCTGTTGCATACTCTTCTTTCTCTTTTGACAGCCCTTTAAAATTGTACAAGACCCTTTTCTTTCATTATTGCCTCTCCCTAAAGAGCCCTTTTAGACAGTTTTTTTCCCTAATCACTGCACCTCATGAAAGTTTAATAGCACAGGTATATTATATATCTGTTTATATACTGTATCTATATCTATTTATCTATGTTTTAGAAATAAAAAGAGCAAAAATTTTTAGCCCCCTCCATCGCCCCAAGAACCAATTTTTGCCCCGACTGAGAACGGATGGATCTGGAACAGGGTCCCTCCGCCTCGGCACTGCTGACACTGGGGGCCGGATGACTCTGTGGGGCTATCCCAGACCAGCCTACCTGTCCCTGCCCCCTCGAGGCCAGGAGCCCCCCAGTCGTGACAAACACAGATGTCCCCAGACATTGCCTTGGGGTGCAGGATCACCCCAGTTAGGAACCTCTGTGCTAGGCAATTTCTTTGAATTGACATCAGCTGTGGGATATAGACTCCCTGAACCGGTCCTCAGTTTACCAACCTCATCAGTTGGGTAAATTTAATCAGATGGCGCTATGGAGCTCCTAACACAGTAAAAACTCAGCAAATGAAAGCTGCCCACTTGGGATCTGGGGCATCTTGGGGCACTGGACATTAGCTGGCCTTTAGCATTATACACTCTGGGTCCATCTGTTCAGACCACAGGAAGGCCCATTTTAGGACTGGGCCTCTAGATGGGAGGAGGAAGAATTATCGGTGTCCTCTTTTTTTTGTTTTTCCTTGATTTTTCATGGAAACATCCAGAGCAGCTCAGGCCGATAGAACTTTGTGTGGTGATGGTGGGCGTATTCGGTGCCGTCCAATTCGGTCACCACCAGCCACGTGTGCCTGTCGAGTATTGAAAGGTGACTGGTGCGGCTGAAGGCCTGAAACTTTAATTTCAATTTAGCCAATTTAAATTTCAAGTTGCATGTGACTCGGGGCTCCCGTACTGGACAAGCTCCCGAAGACAGGGTTTCCAGGAGCCAAATGACAGGCAGGTGGTCAGCAGGTGGGTGAGAAATAGTTCAAGGTTTTAGAGGTGATTAACGATAAGATGGCAGGGACTTCCCTGGCGGTCCAGCATTAAGACTCTGCGCTCCCACTGCAGGGGGTGGGGTTCAGTCCCTGGTCGGGGAACTAAGATTCCACATGGCCTGCGGCATGGCCAGTAAGATGGCACGATAAAAAGGAAGGAGATTCTGACACCTGTTACAACATGGATGAACCTTGAGGACACGATGCTCAGTGAGAGAAGCCAGACACAGAAGGACACACGGTGTGTGATTCCACTCACAGGCGGTCCGCAGAGGAGTCACATCCACAGAGACAGGAAGTAGATGATGGGGGCCAGGGGCTGGGGGTGGGGTGGGGAGTCAGCGTTTCATGGGGACAGAGTTTCAGTTTGGGAAGATGAGAAAGTTCTGGAGATGATGGCGGGGATGGTCACAAGATACTATGAATGTACTCAACGCCACTAAACTGTACACTTAGAAATGGTTAAATGGTAAAGTTTATGTTGTGTATATTTCAACACAATCTAAAAATCAAATTAAAACAATTTTTAATGACATGGCATATAATTACAGCATCATATTATTTAGAAACTACACTTAGTTAAATTTTAAAAGAACTACGAGGAGTGTAGGAGAAAAAAGAGAGAGAGCTTCCTCAGCCCAATAAAGGGATCTGCAGAAACCACAGCTAACATTATTCTTAGTGGTGAGAGACCGAATGGGTTCCCCCTAAGATCAGAAGCAAGACGAGGACACCTGCTCTCACCACTTCCAGTCAACAGGGTTCTGGAAGTCCTAGTCAGTGCGATAAACCAAGAAAAAGAAATCAGGCATACAGATTAGGAAGAAAGAAATAAAACTTGCCCTATTTGCAAGCGACATGAATTTCATGGAAAATCCCAAAGAATCTACCAGAAAAAGAAAAAGACTCTTAGAACTAATATGTGAGTTCAGCAAGGTTGCAGAATACAAGATTAACACCCCCAAACCAATCGCATTTCTAAATGCTAGCAATGATCAATTAGAAACCAAAATTAAAAACACGCTCTCATTTACAATTGCTGCCCAAACCTACCATGTATTGAATGTCAACTTGGCACCAACCCTTTTACACTTGTTATTTACTGACTTGGAGACCCAACAAACCCTGGGAAGTGAGTTTTATTATAGTCCCATTTTACAGATGAGGAAACTGAGTCTCAAACAGGTGATATGGCTGGGCTGAGGTCAAGAGCAGTGAATAAGGGCTCCAGACTAGAGCCAGCCATAGCCTAGGGCCATGGCTTTCAAGGTACAAAGTAATAGCACCCAAGACAGAAATAGCAAGGGGATAGCAATAATAGTAATAAAACCCTCCTTACTACATGTCAGCCACTGTTTGGGGCCCTTGATTGCATTCATTATCACCTTTTCCCTCCTGAACAGCCTCTGAGGGAGATTCTGCAATTGTGCCCATTTCACAGATGCGGGGAGTGAGGCACAGAGAGATGAGGGGTGGCGTCTGAGGCCCACAGCCTGGGCTGCCTGGTTCCAAAGCATAAGCACACAGGTGGCGCTCAAGAAACATCCCCCTTCTCGGGTAGGCCCCTGAGTGCCAGCCGGGCACTGTTGCCCGCTGAGCATGTGTGGGTGCTGGTTCCGGAAGAGGGTCTGTGCCCAAGGCCTGGAGCCCGACGGCTGGCTGCCCGGGCTGGGCCCTTCCCAACCCAGTGGCCACCCATGCCCAGCCATGCGGCCATCCAAGCAGGACGGGCCGGCTCCAAGGGGCCGCTGGCTGCCCGAGCCCGGGAGTGGCCACAGGGCGCGGGGCCGAGCCGGGCACAGCCCTCTCACCACTGCCCAGCCTGCCCAGCCTAGTCGGCCACGCGGGGGCAGCTCAGCCCAGCCAAGGAGGGCTGCCTGCATCCGCTCCTATCGTGGATGGGGAAACTGAGGCAGGTGGGGCCGCTCCTGTGCTGTTTACAGCATCCCTGGGTCCTGCCCGCAAGTAGGTGCTCAGCACACAGCGTGTGCAAAGGCAAAAGCGCGATGCCAGGCAGACGGCGAGGGCCCAGTGACTGTTGTGCGAAGTGTCATCATTATTATTATCCCCAAAGCAACCCTGGGTGCACTGAGGCCCCAGCAGGGGAAGTGACCCCTGCCCCGCTGGACCACGTGTCCTTGGAGGTTCCCAGAGCTGGGATGGGAACGCGTGCGTCTCATCGCAGAATCCAGGCAGCTCACGCCAGCGCCTGCTGGATGTCGGGATGTAAGCACTAGCTACAGAATTAAAACAACAAGGGGCAGGGGAATTCCCTGGCGGTCCAGGAGTTAAGACTCTGCCCTTCCACCGCAGCGGACACGGGTTCGATCCCTGGTCAGGGAACTAAGATCCCGCAAGCGGTGCGGACAAAAAATAAATTAATTAAATAAAATGATACACTACTGTGTAAAAAAACAACAGCAAGGGGTGTGGGGTGGGGCACTTTTTCGTCATTCTAACCCTCCCTTTTCCTTGTGTACAAAATGGGTACACTAACAATGCCAGATTTGTGGCTCTTTTCATGATTTAAGGGAAAGTATGAAATGAAAATAAGAAAAAACATCTGTGGTCATGTTAGGGACTTAAAAAATAACAGTAATAATAATAACAGGGTGGATGTCACCATGGATCTAGAGCTCAGTATGCCCTAAGCGCTTCATATGTATCAGCTCCTTGCCACCTCTTGGCAACCCAGCCAGGCCTGTGAGATGCTTTCGCACATTTGAAAGAGAAGACTCTGAGGCTCAGGGAGGTTAAGCGATTTGCCTAAGGTCACACAGCAATTAGCTCTGGGCCTTGGAGTGTGGCAGGTGGGAGGGGCCTGATTCTCTTTCTCTGGCATTTGATAGTGAGTCCCGCCACCTTTGTCCTTGACCTGAGAGACAAATGGGGGAGGGGGGCTAGGGGTCCTGTCTGGCTGGGCTTGTCCATTTCCTCTCCCCCGCAGTCTGGGGTGGAGGGTGTGAGGGCTGCAGAGGGGCCTGGCTCTACTCACCCTCCATCTAGGCCTCCGGAGCCAATAACGCTGAGCTCAGCGTCTGTCTGCTTCACCCGGCTGCCAAGGAGCCTGATTATTTTTAGATAAGATGGAGGGGCGGGCGCCGGGGTGGGAGGGAGCCCCCAAGCCCGGCGGGTGGGGCCGGAAATGTCACAGCTGCAGAAATATGCCCCTCGGCCCCCTCTCTGGGGATCCTGAGTGGCAACCCAAGACCACAGGCTGGGCCCCCAGGACTCGGAAGGCAGAGGCGGTGGGGAGGGGGCCCGAGGGGCCAGGGACTCACCTCTCTGGCCCTCTGTTTTCCCGTCTGTGAAATGGGCATGAGAGTTCCCACCTCATATGGCAGAGGCAGGATTAAATGAGTTATCCTCACTTGACAGATGAGGAAACTGAGGCTCAGAGAGCACTTCCCCACGACTGAGCCAGCCCCTCTACTCGGGTTCTCGCCATGGTTCAGGACACAGGCAGGCTGGCGCTTAGTGACCTCAGACGTCCATGACCCCCTGGGGCAGCAGCCAGGGAGGGGGCCATGCCATGCTCCAGACCACGGCGCTGGCCCAGCCTAGCACTGGGCTGATGTCTCCTCCCCTCCTGAGTGGGGGTCCCTGCGATGTCACAACTCCCCCTCCCTGTCTTTGCAGATGCAGAGCAAAGCGGCAGTCCCCGGGCGGGGATGGGCTCCGACCAGGAGGACAGCAAGCCCATCACACTGGGTGAGTCTGGAGGTGGCGGGGGTGGAGGGCACGGGCCCATCCCCATCTTTTATTTAGGAATCGTTTCCCGGAGCGCCCCCTGTGGGTTCTGTGTTGTCCTGCGTGAGCACCTGAGTCACTCCTCCCAGCCGTGCTATGGAGTAGGTGCTGCAGTTGTTCCATTTTGCAGAGGCAGGGACTGAGGTCTGGAGACGAATATGGGCCTTCCCAGGGGCATCCAGGGAGCTGGGGTTGGAACCCCCGACCCTGAGCTCCAGCGTCTGGGCTCTGAGGTGCTCCCCCCATGGGAGAGGCCCTGGTGGGCCCTGCAGTCTCGTGGGACATTGAGTGGATGAGTAGGACAACTCAGTTCTATGTTGCGGGTGTGGGAGCAGAGCCAGAAGGACAGAGAGGATTTGGAAGCTTCAGAGTCCCTGCTTCTTCTCTGGCTCCCTGACTACTCCCTTCCACAGTCTGTCCTCCTGAAGTGGTCAGAGGGTACCCGTGAGCACCTGAGTCAGGCCCCGCCCATCCTCTGCCCACAGCCCTCCAGGGTCCCACCTCCCGGGGGGTAAAAGCCCAAGTCCTCCTGCCCTCCCCTCCTCCCTCTCCCCGCCTCGCTCACTCTGTTCCAGACACACAGGCCTCCTCGCTGTTCCTCCAGCACATCAGACACCACCTGTCCCAGAGCCTCTGCACGTGCTGTGCCTGCTATCTGGACAGCTAACTGCTTTCTCTTGCTCCAGATCACCCAGGTCTCAGCTCAAATGCCTCCCTCTCAGAAAGATCTTCCCTGAGGCCCTCAGCTCAAGCAGCCTCCGTCACTCTCAATCTCAGCCCTCTGTTTTATTTCCTTTCGAGGAAGTTAGTGATTGCGTATGTATTTGCTTAGTTGCCTAGTGATTGCAAATGTGTTTGCTTCTCACCTAGTGGAACATCACCTCCTCAAGGGCAGAGGTGTTTGTTTTGATCACTACCGTGTCCTCAGTACCTAGAACAGGACCTGGTACACACTAGGTGCTCAAAAAACATTTCTAGAAAGCAAAAAAGGAGAGAAGGAAGGATGAAGCAGAGGGAAAAAGAGAAACTAGAGGGATAGTATATTAGGGGCAAGGAAGGAGGAGAGATGAAAAGGGAGAAAGGAAGAAAGAGCCAGTGGGTGAGGGCATCCCCGTTGGAAGGTCCATCACAGGCATGCACAGGGAGGCTGGATGGTTCCAGGAGGTTCACAGGCCCCCAGGCCACACCTCACTGACCATCTGTGACCCAAGTCCTCCTTGACCTCCTGTGATCCCCAGGCGCCTCCCTCCAAGCCAGATGTTCAAGGCAGGCGGCGGGGGCCATGGCGCTTGGCCTGGTCCCGTGGGGAGCTCCAGCGTCTGGTAGAGGAAATCACTTCCTCCCCGCCCGCCAGGGAGTCCCCTGGAGATGGAGCTGGGCGAGCACTGCACAAACAGGAAACCCCGGTGCGGGTGGGGCGGAGGGGCGTGCTGACAGCAGTCGGCCAGCTGGGTCAGCAGGGAGTGG